GCGGGCCGCGCGGCGGACAGCGGGAACGCGCGGAGGTCAGCGGGGCCGCGCGGAGGTCAGCGGGGCCGCGCGGAGGTCAGCGGGCCGCGAGGAGGTCAGCGGTAGCCGCTACACACAGACACACAGGCAGACGGACAGATACGGGTCGGCGGGTCCGTGGATCAGAGCGTCGAAATTCAGTCGTGACAGAAAAGTAGAGCTGTGAGCTAGTAACGTCTGAATGACGGAACCGTGGAGCTGTGAGCTAGTAATGACTGAATGACGGAACAGTGGAGCTGTGAGCTAGTAATGACTGAATGACGAAGCAGTGGAGCTGTAAGCTAGTAATGACTGAATGACGGAACAGTGGAGCTGTGAGCTAGTAATGACTGAATGACGGAACAGTGGAGCTGTGCGCTAGTAATGACTGAATGACGAAGCAGTGGAGCTGTGAGCTAGTAATGACTGAATGACGGAACAGTGGAGCTGTGCGCTAGTAATGACTGAATGACGAAGCAGTGGAGCTGTGAGCTAGTAATGACTGAATGACGGAACAGTGGAGCTGTGAGCTAGTAATGACTGAATGACGAAACAGTGGGTCGGCATGGATCGCGCAGAACGCCCGCATTTCACAGAGGGTTTGCATCTCGCAGTGACCGGCAGCAGTCCCAGCCGTCACACATTGGAGCGGACGGCAGCGATATCACTGTTGCCAAAACACGTGCGTAGGAGACAAATGGATATCGGCTTAACTGTTGACCTAGGATTCGACGGGCTTACCAACGAGTGACAGGAACATGCCCTTCAGAGCGTAGAACTCGGAGACCATCTCCTTGGTGAAGTACTTCATGTTGGTGTGTTCGATCACCTCCAGGCCCTGAGGGGGGCACACACCAATGATGCCGGCTTTGGTATGGGCGCGCGTCGGAAGCCCTCTCTCGGTTATTCGCTGGTGGTGTCAGCGCCCAGGGACCAGGACACAAGCAGCGGGCCACGGCGCTCTGTCCGGGAGCACAAGTTCCTGACCACTAGGTCAGCGAGCCCCTTATCCTCCCGGGCCTCGCGTACAGCAACCAGCACACTGCTCACTCACAGGCAGACAACGTACACATCTGCATTCCAATCGCTGAGGTCACCACTACATCTGCAAAACAATAGACGGGCGGAAAAACGCTAAAGCAGCGCAGCCGGTGGTGGCGGGGGGGGGGGGGGGGCGTCCTTCACATCCTGCAGCTCGGTCTTGCTCATGCCCTGTCCGGCGGCGGGGGAGGGGGGCGTCCCTCACCTCCTGTAGCTCGGTCTTGCTCATGCCCTGTCCGGCGGGGGGGGGGGGGGGGCATCCCTCACCTCCTGTAGCTCGGTCTTGCTCATGCCCTGTCCGGCGGCGCTCTGGTGGTAGCACTTGACCTGCTGGCGGATCTTCTGGAAGCAGTCGACGATCGGCACCGACGGGATCGTGTGCAGCCGGTTCAGGTTCTCCAGGCACACGCCCATCAGGCCGTGCTTTCTGCCCATCTTGCCGTAGTGGATGATGGCCTGGTACAGAGGGTGGCAGGTCAGCTGGCTGGGGGGGGGGGGGGGCGACCGACCGCGGGAGCCGCCTCTGGACCAGCACACTCATACAGGCACAGCTGGCTGGAGCGGGATCGACCGAACGCGGGAGACGCCTCCGGACCAGCCAACCCCACACAGACACAGCTGGCAGGAGCAGGGCCGACCGACCGCGGAGGGACGCCTCTGGACCAGCACACCCACACAGACAGCACGGCGGCTAACCAAAAGTCGGAACCAGCCAGAGGCAGCACACGCAGACCGGTAAGGCAGCAGCTCGCAATAACCGCAACCCACAGGCGGCTGGCCAGACTGGCTGACCAGTCATCACCACACAACCATACGGGCGCCAGCACAGCAGTTCCCCCAGCCGAGCCCCGGCCGGACGGCCACCTGACGCCTCGCCCAGCTGCCGGCGCCCGGCGGTCCGCGCAGGCAGGCGCCGCGCCACGCTGCGAGCCCAACTGGGCCGAGGCGTGCACGCCCAGCATGCTCTGGTTGTTGGCGCCCTGGTCCTGCTCGCTGTAGTGTTTGACGATGAACTGGTAGTGGTGCTGGCGCCAGGTGAACACATCGCTCCAGTGGCTCAGGTCGTCGCTGATGACCGGCAGGCGATTTGCGCCCACGTTTTCACGATAGCCTTCATGTCGTGCACGGCGTTTTGCCGGCTGTGCAGCAGGTTCTGGTGGATCTGCGCCGCCTCCTGCAGCTCCATGATCTGCCGGGTCGGGGTCGGCGTCAGCCGGGGCCACGCAGCTCTCCAAGACACGCACCATCCATCCCGGCACAACCCCTTGCTGTTCTATGCCGCAGCTGCCTCCGCAACAGCCAGCACGACAGCCAGCGCATATAACACTCTTACAGACACACTAAGCCCCACACTCGCCCTCACATGATGGGCGGCGTGCATGTGGCGGACCGGGTCAGGTCGGGTAGGGCCGCGTCAGGTCAGGTCCGGTCAGGTCGGGCCGCGTCGGGTCAGTTTGGGTCGGGTCGTGTTGGGTCGGGCCGGATCGGGCCAGGTCAGATCGGGTCAGGTCGTCCCCACCGACCCGTCGCGGCTCTCTCACCTGCTGCGCCGCCTGCAGGTAAGGCACGTGCACGTGCGACACGATGGAGGGCAGCTTGCGCCACTCCTTCATGCACTGGTTTGTGGCCAGGTCGACCAGCTTCTCGACGTTAGAGAGGTGCGTCTCCTCCGGGTGGCAGATGGCGATGTAGCCGCGGTACAGGTTCACCTGCCGCCGCGCCCGCCAGTCGTCAGTGCGCTACCCGGCACGGGCCCGGCGTCCCACTCGACTCGCGTCCGAGCCGGCGTCGTCCTCGCCGGCGTCCGACTCGCACGTGACACGTGGCGACAGACACCTGGAGCCCTAACCGAGCCTCACCCGGTTACGTCAGGGGAAATCTCACCAACAATGGCGGCATCATGGCAGTACTTCTGGCACCCTTTCATCGGTGCGACTTGTGTCATGTTGGTCATCAACTTGTGCTGACGCCAGCCATCACCAGTTGACAACGGCTCGTACACCGGGCGGCTGCGGACTCCCGGCTCGCCGACACTCTCACCTCGCTCCTCCCCCGCCCCCCGGCTCGCCGACACTCTCACCTCGCTCCTCCCCCGCCCCCCGGCTCGCCGACACTCTCACCTCGCTCCTACCCCGCCCCCAGTCTCGCCGACACTCTGGCCTCGCCCCTCCCCCGCCCCCGGCTCGCCGACACTCTGGCCTCGCCCCTTCCATCTCCGCCCTCCCGGCTCGCCGACACTCTGGCCTCGCCCCTCCCCCGCCCCCCGGCTCGCCGACACTCTCACCTCGCTCCTCCCCGCCCCCCGGCTCGCCGACACTCTGACCTCGCCCCCTCCCCCGGCTTCCAAACTAGCTCTGAGTCCGTCCTGCTGCCGCGACCGTCGCGGCGTCGGGGTCGCGCGCCTGCTCACCTTCCAGCCCATCTCCTTGGGGCAGTTGACCTCCACTTGCTGGAGGGCGTCCTTCATGACCCCCCAGTTGGGCACGCGCCAGGCCGAGTCGAGCACGAGCGCCGGACTGGCAGCCGCTGCCGAGCGGCCGTACTCGAGTAGCAGGTCCCACTGGTTCAGCTCCTTGCAGCAGCGGATCCACTGCTGCTCCACCAGCATCATCTCCTGTGGCAGTGCGCCCATCCGGCCCGCTGTCAGCCGACTTGGCGGCGCTCAGCCCACGGCCAGTAACGTGGAACCGAACGCGACGGTCAAAGGACCACCGGTCGAAGGACGCCACCCAACATCCGAGCACGAGACAGCCGAGACAACCGTGCCACTTGTGGGTCGAACTAGAGGCCAGCCGGCACACCACGGCATCAGCGGCCGACCAGCGGCCGGACCGCGCCGCCCGACCGCGACACGTCCACCAGCAGTCGACCAGCGGCCGGCCGCGCCGCCGGACCGCGACACGTCCACCAGCAGCCGACCAGCGGCCGGCCGCGCCGCCGGACCGCGACACGTCCACCAGCGGCCGGCCGCGCCGCCCGACCGCGACGCGTCGACCAGCGGCCCGACCACGCCGCCCGACCCGCGACGCGTCGACCAGCGGCCGACCAGGCCGCCCGACCGCGACACGTCCACCAGCGGCCGACCAGCGGCCGGCCGTGCCCGCCGCTCACCTGCTGCAGGCTGACCGGAGCCGGGGACGTGGCGTAGTCGGCCCGGATCTTGTTCGTGGTTAGCTCGTAAGCGCCCTGCGCCTGCTCGAAGAAGCCCTGCTGCTCGTACGCCAGCGCGATGTTGGTCTGCGAGTACTTGGCAATCTTCTGCCACAGGCCGATCCAGAGGTCCCTCCTCACGCAAGAGCTTGTACAGCTCGCAGAGGCTTTCCAGGATCTCCAGACTCTCCTGGAGCAGACGCCGGGAGTCAGCCCATCTCCAGACTCTCCTGGAGCGGACGCGAGAGGGTCAGACGATCCCTTGACTAGCCCTGAGCAGGCGCACTGATGTCCAATGTCACAATGACGCCAGACAGCCGCTCCAGGACCCCGACTCTTCTGGAGGAGAGACAGGGTGCCAGGCGACGCCTTCACGACGACCCACTATCCTGGAAGAGACCTGGGGGGGGGGGGGGGGAGGGGAAGTCCAACGGCCTCTACAGGTTCATGAAGTATTTCCTAGAGGATACACACAATTGCTGTGCCTTACAATCAACACATCTGTGGTACCTGGTTTTGAATCACGGGCAAGGAATGTTTAAAAATCCTAAGCCCGTGATTCCCCTCTCATCAATGACTGAACTGAGCATGCTTTGGGTCCGGAGAAACGAAACCATTCTGCCGACCAGCAAGCAGGCCTATGAGAGACATTCTTGCAATGTTACTATCTATAGACGACAGCATAGATAGCACATCGCACGCATGCACTGTGTCACATTGTAATAGAAAGGACTTACTTTCACCTGCCGACACAGAGGTCGATGTTTTCAGTCAATGGTTCTTTCCTGTCCACCTCACGTCAACACACACTAAAACAGGACTACGTGTACAGTATACACTACCCCAGCAGCGTCATTAGCACCGAGCTGGGGCAGCCTAGGTCGGCGCACCTCCTTGGTGTTGGTGGCCGGCTCGAAGTCGTACATGTCGGCCGCCTCTTTCTTGGGCCGGATGAGCTGAAGGGAGCTGCTGTCCAGCGCCATCTGCTCCAGCGACAGCGTTCATCCGGTACCACAAGTTGTGGCTCTTGCCCAAGTAGCGCATGATGCACCTGGAGCGCGCGGCGAGAGTCGGTTGGGCGGTGCGGCGCCAGCTCCTGCGCGCCCGCCACGCGACAGAGCAGTCTGGCCGGCGGCCGGGCGGCCGGAGAGGCAAGGCTCGGGCATCAGCTGAGCTGTGCCAGCGCGCGGGGAATCAGCTGGGGTGGCGGACAGTCGGGCGGGACCGGCGCAAACACACGCCGCCCTTCCGTCACTGGTCACACTGCCCTGCTGTCGGCAGTCAGCTATTTCAGGTCCAAGCGGCGAAGACTACAGCCACATAACATCAAGCATGCTGCTACCCGGGAGCCAAACAAGATCCAGCTACAACCGCGACACCAGCTGGCTTTCAAATGACGAACCAATGAGGAAGTAACTGCGCATGGCAAACAGACCGATGACAATACCGGCACAGTGCGTCATTACACTTGGGTCGCTGCTACCAAGTATGCAATAGTGCTCCTGGAAAAACATGGCCTAAACTGGTCCCATGGCAACATTAAGAGACGCAGTACGTCACACAGCCACAATACGACCCCAACCTCAACCTCAACCTCAACTCAACCTCAACCTCAACCTCAACCCCAATCACCTAAGCCTCAACCTCAACCCCCAACATCCGACAAGCAGGCAGCAGCGGACCGTACACTGGGTCTGGCGCACGCGCAGTTTCCCGTCCGGCCACGGCGGACACGGCAGCGCACCGACACCAGCTCACTCACGGCTTCAGGGTGACCGACGGCTGGCAGTGCACCAGCGCCTCCACAAACGTGTTGAGCGCCGACGGCGAGCAGTCCTTCTGGATGTTGTGCGCCCCCGACACCAGGAACGGCACCAGTTCAGCCGACAGCGACTGAAACACGCATACATCATCAACTGGCCGATTCCGACAATGGTGCTGCGTTAGCTGGCACAGGCGTGAAGCCGGTGGGATTCCCCGCATACGTCGTGATGAGCATGGTCTGGTATGACAGTGTGATTAGGCTGGGCTGAGAGAGTAACCTCATAAGCTCTGATCGCCTCGAATTTCCATGCTATACTTACTTCGCTGCACAGGACAACCCGTGTAGCAGTCTGGTCCAAATCTCAGGGATGGAGGCGCCGCCCGGCGACCGATCCCATATCGAGTCCATCAGCTCACACATCATCAGGGATGGAGGCGCCGCCCGGCGGCCGATCCCATATCGAGTCCATCAGCTCACACATCATCAGGGGTGGAGGCGCCGCCCGACGGCCGATCCCATATCGAGTCCATCAGCTCACACATCATCAGGGATGGAGGCGCCACCCAGCGGCCGATCCCATATCGAGTCCATCAGCTCACACATTATCAGTCCTCAGCTGTGATGAGCCGACAGCACGGATGCTGCTAAAGACAGCCGCTGCCACAGGCGCGTACCAGCGCCAGCTGACACATCCCGTTATTGAGGTCGATCGGGGAGACGAGAGGGGAGGGGACGGAGCACAGTCACGCTTCACCGCTACCATACACAGAGCGCCTCAGAGACCGTACGCACCTGCTGCTGCCGCTCGCTGAGTGTTTTCCAGACGCGCGGGAAGAAGTCGAGCCAGAGCCGCTCGGCCAGCGGCTGGTCGCTGTGGCAGAGCTGCGTCAGCGCCGCCAGGAAGTGGGGCGTGCGCACCTCCTTGCCGCCCTCCAGGAACTTGGCCTGTGACAGCGCGAGAAAGACGCATGTCAGACGAACACGCCGCACTGCGGCACTGGCGCACCCAGCTGCCGCGACGTCCAACCGTACGGCGGCGAACGCCAAGGGGTTCCGCAGATTCGAAGACGCTAGAGCGAAGCAGGCGAGCTGAAGGCCATGGTGAAATGACCACCCCATGACGTTTCTACAGTATGCGAACTAGCAAACGCGTTCAACCGCGTCCTCGCAGACAAAGGCATGCAGTGTCTGGGAGCACAGCGGTAATCTCACTGGTGCATATTCGTCTGTCTGTTTGCATGGATGCGCATGCCTGCGCGCGCGTGTGAGCATACGTGTCAGCGTCAGCGGGCGCCAGTTGTGCTCTGACCTGCCTGGCGACGAGCACCTGCAGCGGCACGGCGGGCGGGGCGCTGGGCCGAGCCGTCTCCCCCCTGCTCGCCCAGCTCCAGCTCGTCCTGAAACGACACATACGCCCCCCGTGGCCAGTATGACAATCAGCTACGTCGTTCTGCTCCTCAAATAAACACTGCTGGAAGCGTCCCACCCAAAGTGTCAGGCGAAGAGAAACTTCGCGACCAATATCGCCGCTCAGGATATTGGGTGCCGATAGTTCAGTAGCTAAGCTGCACGTATGGGAACCAGAGGTACGGGGTTCGATTCCCGCGGTGCCCGCTCTTCATGCCAGGGTGAGAGGAAGCCCCCACAATAAAGCCTCGACAACCAAGCGCGTCGTCAGGCCCCAATGCCATACACCCATTACGTCTCCAGGAACATCTCTCAAGTGAATGAGCGCTCGACGCTGGAATTTACGGTACTCGTGCACCCTAGACATTTTATACATTGGTGAAAACTAAAAGGTCGCACCCTCGATAGTTCCCGAGTGACGGCCATTTTTGCGCGTGTCACGTGATCGTACCCTCGATAGTTGCCGAGTGACTGGCATTTTGTGGGCGTCACGTGATCGAACCCTCGATAGTTGCCGAGTGGCTGGCATTTTGTGGGCGTCACGTGATCGCACCCTCAATAGTTGCCGAGTGACTGCCATTTTGTGGGCGTCACGTGATCGCACCTTCGATAGTTGCCGAGTGACTGCCATTTTGTGGGCGTCACGTGATCCCACCCTCGATAGTCCCCGAGTGACGGCCATTTTGTGGGCGTCACGTCGGCCACATCACGAGGCGGGTATCCGATACCTTACTTTTTCCCCAGAATACGCAATGTTAAGGACGTTCTCATAATGATTTGCTGTATCTTACTGTGCTTCATGCGGTTCTAAAAGTAACATGTAATCAGGTCATCCAAGATCATGTTACGTCAAATGCTGCAGAGGAATACACATTTCCAGGAGCAATTTCCAATCATCTAATACATTATTGGTCACGTTAACCGATGGCTGGATGACTGGGTGGGCGGGCCATGCTGACTGGTGTTGTCAGCTGACTGGTTTGGCTATTTTGGGAGGCTTGTTTCGTTGCCGCCCCATACTTAGGAGGTAACCGGAGTGGGTGAAAGCACGCAACGCCTGACCCGGGTGGTCGGGCGGACCTAAGAAAGGCCGAGTGTTATGTGTGGTGGCGCCGTGAGTGCAAATGTAAATACAAACTACCCACCGAGGTGACGAGTGGGATGACGCACACTGCACAACGCCACTGTTCATAGCATCGACTGCGGTGACCGCCGCACCACTGGGCGCCCACCGACTCCCCTGCGGCCGGACCGGACCAGGCCCCGGGACCGCGCGCCCACCGACCCCCCTGCGGCCGGACCGACCCCCGGGACCGCGCGCCCACCGACTCCCCTGCGGCCGGACCGGACCAGACCCCGGGACCGCGCGCCCCACCGACCCCCCTGCGGCCGGACCGGACCAGACCCCGGGACCGCGCGCCCACCGACTCCCCGCGCCGGACCGGGCCAGACTTCGAGCCCGCGCGCCACCGACTCCCCTGCGGCCGGACCGGACCAGACTTCGAGCCCGCGCGCCCGATGACTCCTCTGCGACCGGACCGGACCGGCGCCAGCAGCCTGACGTGACGTACGTTGCTGCTGTCGGTGTTGTCCAGGTCTGCTGCCGGCTCGACGGCGCGGGACACCCCGGTACTGGTGGAAGGCCTGCCGCTCGCCGGGGTCGCCCAGCTGTATCACCGACGACAGACTGGGCAGCTGCAGACTGGCCGAGGACAGCTGCATCGGCGAGTCTGCCGGGTGAGGCCGGACCGGCCGTCACAGGCACGCGCGCCGAGTGGCGGCACGCGGACCCGGCTCGCCGCTCCCAACGTCCCCAGCCCGTCAAGAAGCTACACGTTGACGTCACCAATACTAATGAGCCTTGTAGCACTCATTAAGTACAGCTGCCACATATCGTCAAAATCCTGTCAAGCCCAACGTTTTGTTGGTGCCTGGGCATTTTACAGTGCACAAAGGGGAAATTTTACACACTTTTGGGGACTTGAGCCCTGTGCAATTTTACAGCTATTCTCTATCACTCCCGTGGAAGTACATGAGAAGAATGACATGAAAATCAAATTTGCTGTTCAAATACCCAATCTTTTTTAGAACCGCAATCATAGTAAGTGCACCAAAATAAATTGATATCTCTGATACCTTAAGTGGTGTATTATAATTCGGTTGGCAATTTGGTGGTCGTGGCTATGGCTGGTGGTGCTTACGGAGCGGGCCTACTTGGGCTTTTACTCATGATTCATTCCATCACTAATGAGGTACGCTAAAGGAAAACGTGTAATATCTCGAAATCGTCCCGATTTGCTCGAAAAAATGCTGAAACAACAAACCCACAAGCCTTCACTTTGCGAGACATGACGATGCTAAGAGCATAGCAAATACAAATGCTTGCTTGGTACGAACTATCCGCCAAACGGCAAGCCACACCTTTATCAACAGAAATGTGCTGATGGAGCGAGCAGTACCAATTTCAACGGATTCTTTGGAACGCCTCGCAGTTACTACACCATGCAACATAAGAAACAAACTGCTAAACCGTGACTACGATATGAGCCCATTCGCATCGCGCTCGAGACGTTTATTTGACACGTCGATTTTTGCCACGAGATAAATCTAGAGGACACTGCAAAGTGAGGACTTGCAGCACGCTCAGTACAACCGCCAATGGGCAAGTCCTTAATACAGGCGACCGTAAATAAACAATATAACCCAGCTTATCTAGGGACCGGCAAATGCAGCTGAGGCTTCTTCTGCGTCAGCTGGCGCCGGGCCGCAGCGGCCACTCACGGTTAGCTGTGACGAGCAGCAGGTCCAGGCACTGCTTGATCCAGTAGTGGTGTCCGATGTGCTCCCAGTTCTGGCTGCACACCACGTACAGCAGCCGCTCGTGCAGGCGGCGCTTCATGCTCGTGTCGAACACCTGCCGTGCACGTCCGGCCCGTCAGGGGCGGCCCGACAGTCAGGGGCAGCCAGGGACGGGGCAGCCAGGGACGGGGCAGCCAGGGACGGGGCAGCCAGGGACGGGGCAGCCAGGGACGGGGCACCCTGGCTGTCAGGGGCAGCCAGGAACGGGGCACCCTGGTCGTTAGGGGTAGCCAGGGACAGGGCGCCATGATCGTCAGGCAGAGGGGCTGGGCGACACTGGACCTCAGGGACGGGACAGGGACGTCAGCCGCCGGCTGCCAGGGATGGGACAGTCAGGGACGGGGCACCCTGGTCGTTAGGGGTAGCCAGGGACAGGGCGCCATGATCGTCAGGCAGAGGGGCTGGGCGACACTGGACCTCAGGGACGGGACAGGGACGTCAGCCGCCGGCTGCCAGGGATGGGACAGTCAGGGACGGGGCACCCTGGTCGTTAGGGGTAGCCAGGGACAGGGCGCCATGATCGTCAGGCAGAGGGGCTGGGCGACACTGGACCTCAGGGACGGGACAGGGACGTCAGCCGCCGGCTGCCAGGGATGGGACAGTCAGGGCTGGAGCCAATCGTCATGAACCAACGAGTTTGTGGCGACACCAGGCGATCAAGACATGCCAGCGTAGGGGAAACCGAGGGACGCCGGCCGTCGGAGACAGCACAGTCGGGACGGCCAGTCAGTTTGGGAGCTGTAAGAACGAATTGTAGCCAGCTCTGAGTAACGACCCGTCTGGCCATGCCATACGAAAAGACGCTGTCCGGTCTGTTCCTTTCAAGGTACTAGAAGCGCCATCAATACTGGAGTTGCTAATGCAGTTTTAGAAATTTAAAGGCGCAGTTATGCTGCGGTATGGTTTATGTTTGAGACCGCCAACAATCCGACTTGTCAATATCCCTGACAACGAACACAGCATGGACGGTTTTCTAAGGGCCTTGATCTGTCCCGCGGTGCGAGCGAGCGCGACCACTCCTGCGCCCACCCGACCGCGGTTGTCGGCTGACCCACCTCGAAGAACTTGGACCGGATCTGGGGCTGGGCGCAGCGCAGACCGGACAGGAACGCCGGCTCCAGCTTCACCGTCAGCTCGGTGCTCTTCAGAGCGTCGTCTCTGCGGCAGAAGAGGGCCGTCAGCTACCGCGGCGGGTGGCGTCACACGGCCTGCGCGCGCTGCCTTGCTCTGTCCGCCTTACTTAAGATCAGTTTGTCCTGCGACTGACCGAGTTCGATAGCCAGAGCAAGCGGCTTGCACGCCGGCATTGGCGCAGCAGGCGGATCAGCAGAACTAACGCTGAGCACGCAGCACCACGCTGCTCGTGTGACACTGAGCCAGTAGACAACACCCCGCTTCCCCTCCGCCCACACACACATCATAATGCAGCGTTCGTGCATCGCAATGTAAAACAGGACGCAAAAGCGCAGCCCAGTGCATCAGCCGGCGCACGGTGTAGCCGGGGCTCACGGAGTGCGAACAGTTATCTCGCCCCCGGGAACACCCCCGACTGCGGTCCCTGGCCGCGGCGACAGCCCCTCTGCAGTTGGCCACGGGCCGGGGTGCAGCGGCTCGGAGGACTGGCCAGGGCGTCCCCCTACGGCCCTGATACCCCGCACGCCCATGATCCCCTGCACGTCCCTGATCCCCTGTACGTCCCTGATTCCGTGTATCTCGGTACGTCTCACATCTTCTGTGGGTCCCTGGTCCCCTGTACGTCCCTGATCCCCTGTGCGTCCCTGATTACCCGTACGTCCCTGACCCCTGTACGTCCCTGACCCGAGTGCGTCCCTGATTCCGTGTATCTCGGTACGTCCTGCATCCTTTATGGGTCCCTGATCCCCCGTACGTCCTTGATCCTCTGTGCGTCCCTAATTCCGTGTATCTCGGTACGTCCCGCATCCTCTGTGGGTCCCTGATACCCTGTACGCCTCTGGTCCCATGTGCGTCCCTGATTCCGTGTATTTCGGTACGTCCCACATCCTCCGTGGATCCCTGATCCCCTGTATCCAGCAGCCCACTGCCGCTTACCGATAAATGTAGTTGACCAGCTCCAAGAACTGGGCCTGCACCTCCGGGTCATCGGTGAAACGTTTCTCGATGCAGTGCATCAGCTTAACCAGCAGGATCGACTTCTCGCGCAGTGAAGGTCCCTGGTTGATGGCGATCGGCGACTTGTTCTTCACCCACTCGTCCACCATCTACACCGCAGGGTAGACGTTGCCAGTATGGTCACCAGAAACAGAACAGCGATAACGCATTATGAATGAATGATGCATGCACTGAATGCACCAAGAAACCCTATAAGCTGACTCTGCGTGAACGTGGCCACATGGGGATGCTGCGCGCAGCATACGGGATCAGAGCCCGAGCTTCTCGAACCTGTTGTGGCCGAAGACTGCTTCACTTATCAGCATCCCTGACTGTTAGAGTCGCTCATTTCACCCGGCCATTTCACACCGGCTGCTGCCGCCGGTTAAGCGCCACCAAGACGCATAAGGAGATACGCTGCGCGGATTATGACTGTCGCAGCTGAATGACAATCGACGGAAAGTACCGATCAGCGAGATCCAGCGTTGCACGTACTCTCCTCTCTTAACGGGCAGAAACATAGCTTATACCTGGCAATACACGTGAGCCTAAGTTAAGGACTGCTTAACAATGTAATTAAGCATTCATCCCTTATAGCGTGCCTTGTAGGAGTAAATCATTTGTCGTTGAACTGTTGAAAAAGAGAGGTTTTACCTTTGTGATGGCCTTCAGAACCTTGACCTCGGACGTCTTGTCGATCAGATTGACCAGAATGGCGCCGATGAAGGACTTGCGCATATCCAGTCCCATGACGCCCACACGGTTCTTGACCAGGTCCAGCGCCAGGATCAGGAGGTCGACGGCCACTGCGCCGACGGACAAGACGCCTGAGACTGACTCGTCGGCCCAGTCCACACACGTCGTGACACGTCACGCGGGACAGGTCACTGTGCCCATGGCCCAATATCCGACATCGCGCCGTAGATTTTACTTGATTTCGTGTACTCTGCTCTACAGCCCTGCTCCTCGCGAGCCTGGTGCGTGTCACATGCACCTGACGCATGAGCTGCGTTTGGTAGGCTGAGATCCGAATACTAGGTGGGGAAGGACTTCTCAGGCTCCCCTCCCCTCCCCCCGTGACGTCTTGATACTGGCCATGGACAATGCAGTAAAACTGAATGATTCCACTACATGCATATTATCTGATCACAACACACCCAAAATAAAACAAAACGAACAGATCAGCCTCATACACGAGGATTGCTGTGAAGTGTGCCGTTTTCACCCATTCTGGTGCCGCACACGCCCGAAGGAATCGTAATAAGTTAATTTTTTTGCAACAACGGATTTTTCGGCCTCATAAACCTTCACAAACTCACATCACAACGAAGGTAAACGGTGTTGTACTCGACGGCCAAATTAGTCCGGTCGCTGAGCGTGAGACGGGGGGGGGGGGGGGGGGGGGCGGGGGACTTTACAAATGTTTCGGACACATGCCGTAAGACTTTTGACAAGTGAAGATCATTTGGGCCAAGTTCCCAAATGCGGCAAAATGCTAAAAGCCTGACACCGGTTTCTGACAGCCCAAAATTCGGTGATTATCCTAACACATTTCTAATGTACGGCAGCGTTGGGCGGCCCACAGTGGAGGCCCTGCACAAGGATCGGTACGCAATGAGTAATGGTCGTCCATTTCAGCCAAAAAGGCGGCGCTAGGCCCCTTTGAGCAGGTTTGCGCAAAGGGCCGCACTCTTACCCGGATTACCCCACCCACAAAACAAGGCATGCCTACAGCTGCGCCGCCGCACTGTTCGCCTACCCGGCGCGGACTCCCTCCCCCTCCTCCTCCCCCCCCCCCCGCGCTGCCAGCTGCCGCGCCGTCCACCTGCCCGGTGCGGACTCGTGCCCGCCCCCCCCCCCCCCCCCCAGCCGCCGCACTGTCCACCTACCCGGGGTGGACTCGCCGCCGGGCGTCAAGTGGTCACGTGCCATACGCTGCAGCACGCGCATAAAGCTGCTGATGAGCCGGTCCACGTAGCAGGGGTTGCTGTGGCCGGCCGCCTTTAGCACCATGAGGGTGCCGTACAAGCTGGACGGCGTGGCGGACGTGTTCTTCTCGAAAGCCACCAGACCCTCGAACACGACCTGCCGGCGACACGCCAGACGCCCAACATTCCATTAAACCGCACTTCAGCTGCACTGGAAAGCCAACAAGCCACTGACGATCAGCCAGCACCCCTGGCAGCAGACGGCACCGTCCACCAGCACCAGCTATTACACAGATCAGAGGGACTCGGACGGCATACGGCGAGCCGATCCCCATACGCTGGCGGCCAGGCTTCGCTTTGGATGGAATGGTGCGTCACCGCGTTCTCCAACACGAAGAGCCATTGGCGAGAATCACATCAGAGCACGTGCCATAAAAAGTGACTCACGTGAGCAGCCCAGACACGGCGCCCCCAGAGGACCCCTTCCACACCCGCCCGACGAAGTACATCAGACCAGCGTCACGCCACGTAAGCCGTACTTGGCGGCCCGTACGCCCAGCGCCGGCGGCCAGTGACAGGCAGCGGACGGCGGCGAGCGCGCCGGCTCGAGCTCCCGCGCCCGCCGCCGCCTCCACACTCGCCTTGCTGACGTGGTTGTACAGCGACTCGAGCTCGTCGTACTTTGAGGCCACGGAGGAGCCGGTGGGCTCCGTCGGGAACATGTTCATCAGCTTGGTCAGCAGCAGGTGGACGGCCCTCACCACCTGTGTACGCCGACGAACGTTCACTTCATATTTGTACCATGTCGCCCTTCTCTTGTTTACGCCACACGTCGCACTGTGTCAGTATCACAGCATCAACCTGCAGCTAACCACAAATTGGAACAACGTTGCGTTGCAACTTATCTTATACATCGAGAAGCGGCAAGCATTGGGATGGAACTCTGCCAGTGATGCTTCCAGTAGCTTCCTGTACCTGCCAGTAGCTTCCAGTGACGTTCAGTTTTCACATACCCGAACACAAACCCAAACGAAAGGGTTCGTGCGTGCTTTGCAGCATGTTGCAGGTTACCCAAAACCAAACACTGGGCGGCGATGCGTAGCCCAGCAGCACACCTTCTGGTTTTGGGAGGCCATGCACGCGGCCAGGCCCCGCTGCAGGTGCTTGAAGTTGGCCAGGATCTGGTCCCGCTTCAGCATCGTCAGCAGGTAAGCCAGCAGGTCCAGGGCAGTGCAGATGTTGCTGTAGTTTGGCTGCGGCGATTCTGAGGATGGCCGGCAGCCCGCCACGGGTTCAGCGTCAATCGTACGCATAACACGCCAAACGAGGGTATGCCACCATACAGGTCAACTGACTACGTGTAAAAACTTTCTATAGACTAGGAACTGTGCATTTGGTGAACGATACAGCGTATCCCACTTTATACAGTCAACTTTTTGTATGAAGTCTCCTACTTGTGAGCCATTCGGGTATTTTTTCCCGGTGTGCAAACACAAGGGCACAGAAGCAGTAGTTCGAGGCTGGCGGATGCGCTTCCATCGACGTGTTTGCGGGCTTTATTCCATCACACAAATTGCGACTGTAAGGCAACGGAACCATGTACCATAGTCGCATGATTGCGACTGCGCCGGGCACCGCCTGAGGTCTGCCACGTGACCGACGTGGGCGCGACAGCGAGCGAGCGGCGCCGCACCACGTGACCGACGTGGGCGCGACAGCGAGCGAGCGGCGCCGTACCACGTGACCGGCCTCGCCGGCCAGGCGAGCGAGCGGCGCCGCACCACGTGACCGGCGTGGGCGTGACAGCGAGCGGTCGGCCGGGGCGCGTCGCCGCCGGCCGGGCCGCAGCGCGGACGCACCGACTGACAGCAGCAGCTTGTCGACCCAGACGATGCGCAGGTCGCCGTGCGGCAGCACCCCCGGCCGCATGGCCAGTTTCAGCAGCTGCACACAGCGGCGCGACAGCTGCTCGCCCGGCGCGCCCGGCGTCGTCGACAGCTCGTTGACCTGACGTCACAGTGTCACGTGACGGAGGACAGCAACGGGGTAACGAGAGCGTCACTGCACGGACGATTCGGTGGCGGTGCGCACCGGAGGGTGGTGATGTCTCGGTTAGCCCGCCATGACAGCAACCGAAGCCATCAGCACGGTTCTGTGCGGCCACCCACACCACGTGGTCCCGGCTGGAACTACACCGCGGTTCCGATTCGGAACCTCATCAAGCGATAGTCAATGGCCGCTCGCGTCAGCCGCCGCGGCGGCCGCTACCATCAACTCGAACAGCTGCCGCACTGTCCCTTACTGAGCTGAGCACACCAACACCAAGACAGCAGCAGACAGCTGAGCGGCCACACACCTGACACGCCAGCTTCAGCAGGAAGTTGATCAGCGTCTCGGCGTGAGTCTTCTCGATGCGTCTCAGCGACTCCTTCGTGATGCCGGGCTTGAGAAGCGCTCCCTTCGACAGCGACTCCTGACGGCCGCCGCGGTGAGCTTAGTTAGTGCATACAAGCGGCTCCTGTGCGCGGCGCGGCGCGGCGCGACAGAGATGTGAAATATGACTAGGGAAATGACTACGACTAGGGAAATCGCTTATACATATATATATATATATATATATATATATATATATATATATATATATATATATCGCATAACTTGTTCCCCGCGCTCGCGCTCGGAATCCGACACGGACGACTGTCACGTGCACGCTGACTGATCGCCCCACCGCATGCGGCGCTGATTGGGACTGTAACGTCGCACGACTTCATGTATAATGGTAGTTAGTACAAATAGATAAACAAATAGATACATACATACATACAAGAAGATACATAGAAAAATAGATAGATTAGTGGTGCTAGTTTGGGACCCTGAGGGCTTCCTGATCACGGCGTGACACCTACGCCAGCTGTCCTAAGTGGTGCAGCTGCGGCGAGCGAGCGGGTCGCTGCGGGCGCGACGGATGAAGGAAGGGGGAGAAGAGAATGGCGTTAGGAACAGCGCTGACCGAGTTGAATTGGCTGGCGCTGGAATGCGATGAGAGTTTGGTGAGTGGGGTGATTATTTGAGGATATCTGGTCACATGATGCAAGGCCGGCGTGGCTCTGCACCCACGGGGAGCGGTCTCGTGATTTTCTCTGAGAGCAACCAAAGCATACGGTACCCCTGCACACCTCTAATATACCACTGATACCACCTACCACACGACGGCCGGCCGTAGTGAAATGAAACCACCCCGAACAAGAGAGGTGAGCCCCCACCGATCTCTGACGCCGCCCTTCACCCGACAAGTGGAGCCACTGAGCTGCCGCGACCGGCGGCTACGCCGATCTCTGATTAATACCTCTAGCACGACAACCAGGCCGACTGCCGCTCCAGCCGCGGCGGGACAAATGATCACACGGCGGTCCCGGATCCGCACACCACTGGCGCCACCTCTGACGCGGCCGACAGCCCCTGGCCGACCTCTGACCCGTGCCGTGACGGGCGGGGCCGGACTGACCTCGTCCTGGCGGCGGACGATCTCCCAGCGCACGATGACCTCGGCCAGGTCGACCGCCAGCTTCTTGTGCTCGGGCGTGCCGGTGGTGCTGAACGCCAGCCGCTGCACCGAGCTCACCATGTGCACCAGCAGCTGGTGCCGCACCGGGTAATACACCTGCCAACACACCGGGCTCACCACACGCACTAGCAGTGCCCAGCCAGGTGGTGCAGGCGGCAAAGCACGACGGATGGCCGCCGCAGTGTAGTGCGGGTCACCAAGATGTCTCAGGTAAGTGCCGATCGTGGGCATGCGGGCGTGAGTGACGTGAGCGCATGCCTGTGCGAGTTGGTAGCTCAACGTGGCTCGGCCAATGTATCCAGGAGCAGCAGCATCGCCAAGCTCATGGCAACATACACACACGCTAGAGAAATTTCACGTTTTCTTTGCAATTTTTTTGCAGATGACGCCATGACGTCACTGTCTGAGCTGCTCGTCGAGCATCTCACGCGGGAGTGGGTGTTGGTTGCACACTCTAAGATTCGACCACAGAGATCTCTCCCTGCGGGACACCTGCTGCGATGCTGCCACCTCAGCAGCAAGTGATCGTGTCTCCCCAGCCGCCACGCAGACCAAACAGGCAACATCTCAGGATACGTCATGCCAACGAAAATTAGATCTAAGACGCCGGAAGTTGTCGCGCACGCCGGCTGGAGCGGCTGGATGTGTCTCCGGGCGCTGGCGCCCGGCTGCCGCACCTTGTTGTGCCTGACGAGGAGCTGCAGCATGTGAACCAGCTGGGTGAGCGAGTGGTGCCCCTCCTCCACGATGATCTTCTTGGTCCAGTGAGTGAGCATGGTGTTGCCGTCCTCCATGCGCACGGGCATGGCCGGCGTCAGGATGTCCAGCGCCTGCCGCACCACCGGGCGCGCCTCCATCGCGTGCGCCTTCAGCAGGCTGTGGAACACCTGCGCAGCAGAGCGCACGGCACCGTCACACACCACGGCCGACTTCCGCGGACCACACCGCCTCAGCATCAAACGTGACGAGGTCTCCACGCCACCCCAAGGTCGCGCCCTCCGTCCGACGGCCGTGCTGGAGCGGCGCCTGTCGCGTAGGCCGGCGTGACCTACCTGCAGCACGATGCGCTTGTGGATGGCGAACTTGGCGATGATGTGCGAGAGCAGGAGGTGGCCGTGGTACTTGGTGGTGGGGTCCACGCAGTTCTTGCTCATCAGGCACGGCCAGGCGAACGTCATCAGGCGACGCAGCTTGTTGCCCTGGCAACGGCCGCGGGTGTCAGCCCCTCGTAAACCGCCGTCAGCGGCGAAACTGGTGAGACATGCGACAGCAGCCGGCCACGCCTCAGCGGCGTGGCCTAAGACGTGAACGCCAGCACGCCAATTCCACTCGAGAGTACACAGCGACTGACATGACACCCAGTTGTTAGATAAGTTCAGGGATGCGCGCTCGACTACGGGAAACAAAGATGCAAACCACGCGTTCACCGGCGCGCTCCAGCCGCAGGCGCCTGGCCACACGGAGCCTCTCAGGTGAAGAGTCTGGCTCTCGCGCGCCCACCCGTCCGACGGCGTGCGGGACGCGGCGCCGCCCGGTCGGCTGGCTGGCCCAGCGTCCCCAACCCACCTGGCGTTTGTTGGCCACGTCGTGGATGTGCGGGGAGGCGTGCTCGATGAGCAGGCAGGAGAGCTGCAGCAGCAGGATGCGCACCCCGTCGCTGATCTGCATCGGCCGCTCGGTGTCGATGAACGAGCGGATGAACACGCTGACGATGTTGGTGGGCGAGTCGTCCTCGGGGGACGGCGGGGAGCCGATCAGCTGGTCCACCTCGCCGCGGTCGAACGACACGGCGAAGCACGGGATGATGATGTACTGCAGCACCTGACGCCCACCCAGCCGCCGGTCAACGTCCAGCCCCCGGCCGGCGGCCGCCGCTGCGCGCCTCGTACAGCTGCGCTGCTACAGCTGGCACCGAGCGTCCATGCAGGCTCGCAGACACCGGATCAGAATAATGTCCAACATCATGACCGGAGGCAGGATCAACCATCCACCACTAGCTGGGCGGATTGGCGCGCATCGTGAAGGCGCCATACCTGTCTTAGTTTGTTCACAAAACATCCACACAACGCACGTTAAACTACTCGAAACTTGACCCAATGTCATCGCGTAACTGTATCAGGCCGTACGTGAACAGCACCAGCAGTGTGCCACTGCCTTCCCCAGAGGCGCCAGCCAGGGCTACACGGCGGAGCTGTGGCGGAGTCTACCTTGGCCTTGAGCTGCTGGCTGATGTTGGGATCCTGGTACAGCTCCACAAACTTGAAGAAGGCGTCTCGCTTCCACACCACCGTGTACGACTGCGCCACCGTGTTCTCCAGAAAGTCCTTGATGAACTGGAAATCTACGATGTACCTGCAATATATTTCACTAGTCGGGAATGTGCAATGCGCTCCACGCATCTGACAAAACGCTGGGTGTCCATGTCCAGCCAAAGGAAGAAATGTAGGATTAGCATTATTGGACGATAAATGTGACTGGTAAGGCCAGAAGCGACAGAGCATCACGACCTCTACGGCGGAGACAACCGGTCCCATTGGTTTCACTGTGCAAAGATCAATGCTGCTGGCGTTGGTAGGCATCGCCGTTAGTGGCGCCAGTGACGGCGTCTCAGCAATGCTAATGCATCGTCATTAGATTAACACACCGCCAGCCAGCCATGAATCACGGGACCTGTTGCTTGTGACGTGTTCGGCACGCCGCCTCACCTGGAGGTGAGCGCGCGCACCAGCTGCAGCAGCAGGTGCACGTTGTCGGGGTGGTGGATGAAGTAGCGCAGCAGCGTGCGGGCCAGCAGGCGCGGCTGCTGCCAGTGGCCGGACTCGGTGCGCTCGCCGCGCTGGTGCTGCTCGTGATACGCGTCACTGCACCACACCTGCAACGGCCGCCGCCGCGTCAGACCCGCCAGCTGCGGCGCCGGCGAGGGGCACGGTCCACACTAGTCTACACTCGTCCACACTCGGGCGACAGGTCCACACTTGTCCACACTCGGGCGACAGGTCCGCACTCGTCCACACTCGGGCGACAGGTCCACACTTGTTCGCACTCGGGCGACAGGTCCACACTTGTCCACACTCGGGCGACAGGTCCACACTTGTCCACACCAGCGCGCGACGGAGCGCGGCGGCGGCGGCGGCGGCGGCGGCGGCGGCGGCGGCGACTGACGGCCGGCCCACTGAGGCTCACCAGTTTGTGGGCCTGCACCAGGTGCGACTGGCCGGCCAGCCACTGGTCGTCGTGCTTGGTCAGCAGGTAGCAGATGTGCACGGCCTGGAACTGCAGCTCGGCTTTGTCCTTCTCGCCCTGCACCGACACGGCGCCTGCACAACAGAGGGCCGCCGTCAGACGAAACACGCAGCGGCTGGCCGGCGGGTGATGGGACAGGTCACACACAAACACGCGGCGGCGTGCGCGCGCATGGGGAGGAGTGGCGCCGGTCCAATCAGGTGCTCACGCCAGTGGCACAAGCTGAGATGGGGCCAAGCCAGTGCCACATAATTCTAGGTCAACACTCGCACAGGAATAGGATTTCACCAATAATGTTGTTGACGTGGAAACCCTTTCCCTCACGGAACCCGCATTGGGCACACATATATGTCGGCAAAGGTGCGTAAATTCCTAAGGTTTCAACTACATTTTGATTTTGCCAGCCCTTGTATTGCGAAAGCCCTGCGCGCGAAACTTCGGACACCATCCACGCCCCATACAACCCTGCATCCTAACGAACCTCACCCACTTCGGACCTATTCCATTGCGGGTAGGTTCCTGTCAATACAACGCTTTTAAACAAAACCTTGCTCGCGAGCTTTTTCCGAATTTCCCGCACTAACCCCTTGCACTTGCACTTTTTTCATTGCCAGTCTTTTACATACCAAGCTCATAAGCTATGAAATCCATCCATAACCGTTCATGGCAACTAACCTTTGCAGTTATCAACCCTTTCAAAGCGCCCTTGTCCGTGACGAATATTTTTCCGTCGCTAGTCCTTTCATAATGAGCCTCATTCATTAAAAAGCATCAATGCGCTATTCCACGAGTCTAATTAATAAAGCCTAAGTCTAACGAGTCTAATTCCACTAAAATGCCAGAGTGCAGCACGCACTTGGCCGCCCTCTGCTGACGGTCTTTCCACTCACCGGACACCATGTTGGTAAGCTTGTCGACCGAGTTCTGCACCATCTCCCTGAAGCACTGGCCGTCCTCGTGGTTGATCAGGTACTTCAGGAAGCGGCTGTTCTGCTGCTCCTTCAACACCGTCTCCGTCATCAGGTAGTCGATCGTCTCCTGGGAAGACACGACCGAGGAACAATGACCTCAAAGTAGCACCGCCACCTACTACACCGTGTACGTAAGCGCCAAGATGGCTGGCAAAACCTGGGTGTCGTCCATCAACTGGAAACCATACTACATGACATGGCTCCATTACTCAATACCCTGTTGAGGGCACGTGCCATACCAGTGAACCAAACAGATAGCATGTGGTTTTCCTTCAAGCCAGGCGAAATTTACCGTTTGAATAGTATCGCTGCTTGCAATCGTCCCGTGCATCTAGAAAACAACAACAGTGAGAACTAAGCTTAAGTTCATGTATGACCGCATTGCAAATTTAGCTTCCTACTGGATGTTAAACCCCAAAAAAGAAACATGAAGACATGCGACATTTCAACCGCAAGTGGGAGCAATAGTGGAGTTCGGAGGCTGCTTGTATGTCTGGAAAGAGATGTCAGCAGTCCTGTTGCGAGTCGCCGGTTGCGCCGGCCGGCCACCGCGACGCTGACCAGCTCAGGTCGCGACCCTGTGCTGGTGGGACGGCGACGGTGGCGGCACAGGCCGGCCACCGCAGCGCTGACCAACTCAGGTCACAACCCTGTGCTGGCGGGGCACGCTGGTGCGGCACAGGCCGCCCGCCGCCGCGCTGACCAGCTCAGGTCACGACCCTGTGCTGGCGGGGCGGCGCTGGTGGCGGCACCGCCGGCCAGCAATGGCTCTACGGGATGTCCAACATGCACACTATGCAGGTCTCGAGTGAGGGAGGACATTTATACACGCGACGACCCTGACAAAACATGGCAAATCTAAACCTCCTCACGGCAAAGCAAGACATTTGACGCGGCAAATCAAAACATACGGAACGGCCCTGGCAAAGGCATGTGGCCAGGTCTCTGTGCGCTCGCTGGGTTTTACTTCAGAGCTCTGTTCACCACTGCGCGTGGGTTGCTATCGCTGGCGAGAGCGTCTGTGACGACGGCTGGGTGCCACTAAGCCCCTGCGCCTACCTGCGGGTACCGCGCCAGGAACTGCAGCAGCGGCGTGCGCATGGTGGAGCCTGCATCCACGCAGAGCTGGGACTCGGTGGTCAGCACCAGATGGATCAGCAGCTCCACAAACCTGCCAACGCGACGGGCCGGGTCCGGGTCAGACCGCGCCGCCCGGCCGCCACCGCCGCGCGCGCACGGCGCGATACGTTCGGGTCAGACCGCGCCCGCCCCGCCGCCACCGCCGGGCGCGCACGGCGCGATACGTTCGGGTCAGACCGCGCCCGCCCGGCCGCCGCCGCCGTGCGCACGGCGCGATACGTTCGGGTCAGACCGCGCCCGCCCGGCCGCCGCCGCCGCCGTGCGCGCGCGGCGCGGTACGTCCGGCGGCGGCCGCGCACGCGGCGTCCCGGCCGGCACTCGGCTCATAAGCCAGGGGACCCACTACTCAGGCTGCAAGCGGGTCCCGACTGTGGCACCACGCCCGCGGCACGGACGGATGGCGTCATTCTGAATGACAGGTGAGAGTGGCCCAGACCATTCCATTCCATTCCAGTTCCGGTGCCACACAGTGCCAGGTGATAATGAAAGCACGGCGTCAGCAGCTGAACGATCATTGACAACACACGCCGAGGAAAATGCCTGTTCAACGAAGATCAACGTACGGAGAAAACTCATAATCCGTTCCCAACCCCGCATCTGTGACGCTGCCCTCCGCCTTCCATCCCAGAGCCCTGAGTACTGTCACCAGCCCTCCGCCCTACACCTCTGGAAGCTGCCTTCCACCCACACCCCTAAAGCCCACTGCCACTCTCCATCCTAGGCTGCAGAAAGGCCGCCGCTACCTCTGCACTCTGGACTAATGGAGACTGCCACCCAACGCCCATGCTACACCACGGCAGTCGGTCATCCACGATTCATCATGAAGCCCTGGAGGCACCCACCCACGTCCCAAGCCGCTGTGGTGCAAAGGCAGCCCCACGTATGCCCCGCTGCGAAACATAGGTGACGTTCCTTAACGCGGGCGTCTGCATCCCTGGAGGGCACCCCAGCCCTCCACCCTCCACCATACCAGGCTGCCGCCCGCCCTCAACTCCGCATCTCTGGCCGGCGTCCCTCGCACCACCTCCCACCTCCTCCCGACCGGCGACCAACGTACCGGCTGGAGGCGGCTGGGATCTGCGGGAAGATGGCCAGGATGGCCGTGCAGATCTGGTACTCCTGCGTGGCAGTGGGCGCCGTGCGTAGGTTGGCCGCCTTCTCCTTGTCGGCGTCGCCGGCGGCGCCGCCGGCAGCAGGCGCGCCCGCAGAGGCGCTCTGAATGGCCGCCTCCATCCACTTGCGCAGGTGCTGCACCAGCTGCTCGCAGAGCTTCTCCTTGAACGTGTTGGGGAAGAGACGCGTCAGGTAGTTGAGCCGGGGCACCACGTTCAGCGTCAGCGAGCGGTGGTCGCCGAGCAGCAGCAGCAGCGGACGCATCTCCTTGTGCACCTGCCGGACAGATGCCACGAACGGGTCAGAGGACAGACGCAACGGCTAAACGCTGTGTCCACAACGAAACCAGACCAGACAGAGCAGCTCGTCGCCTGTTATGTACCCCTTGGCGACCTGTAATCCAGCACAATACTGCCGTTTCTCCAGCCATTTAACGTTATCGAGAGCGTCAAAATGTCCTGTAACAAGGGTGCATTGCGGGTTAGCTGTCCTCCGAGCCTGGAGGCTGCTGGCAGAGCGGATCAGAGCCGGGGCCGTCGGCGGGACTCACCACCTCCATGTCCGGCTGCGCGCCGGCAATCAGCTTCTTCATGCACTGGAAGCCACACTCCTGCAGCTCGGCGCTGCTGGAGTTGAGCGCCCGGTTGTAGAGGACGGAGAAGATTTTGTCGCGGTAGTTGGGGATGTAGTAGCACTCCGCCAGGCAGCGGAGAGCCGACTGGCGGATGGACGTCAAGTTGATGGACTTGTAGCAGGGCAGCTTCAACAGGCTGCTGTCGTCCGCCTCGCAGAGCGAGAACAGCTCGCTGAAGAACACCTTGTGTTCGCTCACCGTCAGGTCTGCCGACGCAGGGACACGCCGCTCACGCACGGTCGGTCGACGGCGTCAGCTCAGGACAGATCAGAGCAGATCACACCAGATCAGGTCAGCTCAAGACAGACGCGGGACAACAGCTCTCTCAACGCCGCCGCTCACGCGCAGTCGGCCGACAGCGTCAGCTCGGGACAGACGCGGGACAACAGCTCTCTCCCACCGCCCGCAGTCGCTCACGCGCAGTCAGCCGACAGCGCCAGCTCAAGACAGACGCGGGACAACAGCTCTCCCACCGCCGCCGCTCACGCGCGGTCGGCCGACGGCGTCAGCTCGGATAGACGCGGGACAACAGCTCTCTTCCACCGCCGCCGCTCACGCACGGTTGGCTGGCGGCGTCAGCTCGGGACAGACGCGGGACAACAGCTCTCTCCCACCGCCCGCAGTCGCTCACGCGGTCGCTCACGCCGCAGTCGGGCCCGACAGCCAGCACCCAGTCAAGACCGACGCGGGACAAAACAGCTCTCCCACCGCCGCCGATCACCGCGCGGTCGGCCGGACGGCGTAAGCTCGGATAGACGGGGAAAACAGCTCTTTCCACAGCCGCAGCTCACGCAGGTTGGCTGGCGGCGTCAGATCGGGATAGACGAGGGAACAGCATCCCCATCGCACCGGCCCACCACCGAAGAAGCATGCCGCCCAATACCAGTTCTCACGACGCCCAGAGCACGCCTTCGTCTCAAACAACACGACACGTCGTGAAGCGCAAAACTTCAGGGGCGTAGTGCACCGCGAGACCTGCGCATCAGCATATGGCACAAGTCTGAGAAGCTAGCGGAGTGAATGTGCGACGAGGGCACCGAAACGGCCAACATCCACCAAGCCCAATCACGGAACTCGGTCTGCTCTAAGCTCCCCCCCCCCCCCCCCCCTCCTCGGCTGTCCGAAGGCAATCCCACCGAGGATCACTGGCTACACTGGACCGTGGGGATGTTGACCTCACATTTCCGGCGACGCCGGTCGTAACGCTAGAATTCGGTCACACCCCTGTCCAGTCGAACACTACGTAGATGATATTCCCTTCGGAAGAAAACAGCAGTCCCGTTTCGCAATAGAAACGGGGAATCCGTAGCGTGCGTCGGGTCTAATTCCTCGCCCTTGTCACCTGGCGTGAACTCCTGGCGCGATTCTTCCGTTACCATACATTCTGATTGCTTCAACAGCGAGCTCTGCCTCCGCCGGCGGGCCGTTTACAAATACATTTCTGAATAGCGTGTAAATGGCATGCCAGATGGAATTTAGGGCCGACAGTAACCTGACGCAGTCCCGTTCGTCAGACCGTCCGGCCAATCCTCCCCTTGCAGAATCACACCACACACGCCTTCACATACCATTGCAACACCAGACAAAACAGAACAGTTCGCTAACGGCTCCTAGCCGCCTACCGATGGTGAAAAGGCGCGGCTGCAGGGAGTAGCAGAACGTGTTGCCATCCATGATGCCGATCTGGGCGTTGGCCGGCTGCTGCCTGACCAGGTGCTTCTTGGGCGGCACCATGTCGGCCAGCGCCTCCTTGTGCGGCTGGATTAGCTCCGAGGTGGACCGCTTGAGGATGCGCGACAGCAGCTCCAGGCTGTGCATCGCCTGCGGACAGCCGAGAGTCAGGGCGGCGGACGGGCCGACAGCCGTCCGAGGCCAGCTGAGGTACCCCTCGCGTGCACGTGCCGTCGCCAGCCGTGCCGAGAGTCAGGGCGGCGGACGGGCCGACAGCCGTCCGAGGCCAGCCGAGGTACCCCTCGCGTGCACGTGCCGCCGCCAGCCGTGCCGAGAGTCAGGGCGGCGGACGGGCTGACAGCCGTCCGAGGCCAGCCGAGGTACCCCTCGCGTGCACGTGCCGTCGCCAGCCGTGCCGAGAGTCAGGGCGGCGGACGGGCCGACAGCCGTCCGAGGCCAGCTGAGGTACCCCTCGCGTGCACGTGCCGTCGCCAGCCGTGGGGTGCGGGACGGCTCACTTGTGGTTGTTGATTGGAGTTTTGGGGCGCGCCGACTACTGAGGTCATTTTGCACCCATAACAACTAATGACTACCTACGAGTGCAAATGGCTGAAAAATCCTACATCAGTCAGAAATGAAAACAGCTGAGTCGTGACAGGAACGTGAGAGTCGTCACCACTGATGTCCGATTAGGTGAACCCATGATAAAATGTTAATAAAAGCTTTTCAGCAGCCTAAAAACTTCCTACACGCGGTACGAACTTTTCAGGCAGGTGCATATAAAGTGCAGAACTTTACATGCGATACGAACCGAGGCTATGTTCGATACATGTTGAGCTGTCACATAGTAAATCGGAGAATCAGGGACGACGTAACCGGGCCATGGTACCCGGACGCTCGACGCATAGTACGGGACAGCGTACGAGCACATGTTCCACTGTGAGCGCGCCGTCGCAGTGGCGACACCGTGGTAGTTCGTTGCGACATAGGGGGTACCCATGTGTGGCATACGCATGGCCAATCCGCAAGCGACACAAGATAACTTCCTCCCGTCTCGACTTTCGATAGGATGACTGCCATTCCTGAACAATCGACTTAATGCTTCTCAGCTTGCTGGTGCCCATCTCATCCCATGTGCTCTGCCATTCTCGCGAAAAAGTAGAGATGGCTGAGTATAGGTCTGCAGCGGGTAATGGGAACGCTTTGCGACAGACGCAAAGTTGCACGCCTTGCGGCAGCGTCCGCCAGCTCGTTTCCCGCAATGCCTAGCGTGGCTCGGAATCCAGCAAAGTCCTATGGTCTTGCCAGCCCGGTACAGAGAGTCGAGACGCAGTAAAATGTCCTGTATAAGCGGAGTTACCGGATAAAAACGTCTTAATGCCGAAGGAGCACTTAGGGAATCCGACAAAATCACGTGCAGACTGCCTTCGGTCGCCTCTATAAAGCAAAGCGCCTTAATGATGGCCACAAGTTCTGCAGTATACACGGATGCATGGGCTGGCAAGTGTAAATAATCGCGTATCGGGGCCACACACAAAGGCGGAACCAACACCTGTGTCCGTTTTGGAGCCGTCTGTACAAGTAATTCTGAAGTCCCGATAAGTCTCGATATGTTTCAGAGCTGTTAGTCTGGCAACACACGGAATCATATTTGCTTTCGAACCTCCGACAATGAGATGTCGACAGTTGGCGATACTATCCTCCACATAGCGGTTGGCAGGGTACGTGGGCGTGCCACACCCCGAAAACTTAAGCCACTCTCATGAAGAACATTATGAACACGCACACAGATCGGCGCCACGCGTGATGTTTGTTCGCGTTGAAAAACATTAGATGTGTGGCGTGAGAACACGGCGTCATGTGTTGGGTGGTTCGGGAATTCCACGAGCTTACAAGTGTACCGCAACCCCCACAACTTCCTTCGGGTAGCCAGCGAAGGTCCGTTGGTTTCCACAAGCAAGCTGGCAGTCGGAGACGTACAAAATGCACCAGTAATAATCCTCAACGCAGCATGATGAACCGCATTCAATGTACGTTTTACGGACTCAGAGGCGCCATCATATACAAAACACGCATAGTCTAGCTGGGAGCGTATCAGTGAACGGTATAACACTAAGTGTTTTCCGACCTGCTCCGTAAGATGCTCCTTGTAGGTCAAACGCTTATCAAAATGTAACCCTAAAAACCGTGCCACCGTATTGCAGGGAATCGGCTGTCCATAAAGCTGAAGCGCCATGTCGGGACAATGACGTCGGCGTCGACAAGAGTGGACGGAGACTGTCTTCGAGGTCGAAAACCGTAACCCGTTGAGTATCCTCCACCTTTCTAAGCGCGCCACAGCCAGCTGCAACTGGCGCGACATGGACGCTGCCGTGACAGAGCTGCACCAGATGGCGAGGTCATCAGCGAAAAGCGAGCGGCCAATCGCCTGGGGAAGACTGTCCCCGATATCATTTATCATGACAGCAAACAACGCAACACTTAGAACACTGCCCTGGGGTATGCCGTTCCCTTGGGCGTATCTTTTCGAGCATATGGAACCAACACGGACTCGGAAGAAACGGCCAGCAAGAACGTTCATAAGAATGGTAGCCATAGCTCCGCGTATGCCATACTGGAACAGCTTCCGTAAGATGCCATATCGCCAGGTTGTGTCGTCGGCCCTTTCGATGTCCAAGAACACAGCTCCTACGTGTCGCCTTTCCTTAAAAAGAAATGCGCGCAGTTGAGTCCACGGCTAAAAGATGATCAATGGTGCTACGGTTTTTTCCTGAAACCACACTGGGCGTTTGAGAAGATTTCTAAAAACTAAGACAATCGTGTCACGGCTCACCTGCTGCCGGGCCGTGCTGTTGGGGCTGGTCAGCTGGCGGACCAGCTCGTTGGTGACGTCATGCTGCGACTTGGCGCGGACGGCGGCCAGCTCGCCGTCCCCCGCCTGGTCGGCCGGCGACGGCGACGCGCACGCCGTCAGCAGCCGGTCCATGTTCTGACGCGCCTTGTCCACCGCCCCGCTCGACACCTGGCGGCCGCACCCAGTCGGCGCCGGTCAGTCACCGGCAGGTCCAACATCAGACGGCCAAACACGGTCCGCTATCGGCGACTTGTCAAGGGGTGTACATGAATTACACAAATACTCCGCGATGCCTAACAAATACACAATACGTGACAAATATCATATGCTTCAGCATTCCAAGCTTTCCCTTTATATCTAGACAAGGTTTCGAAACCAGTTTGGTGGGCGATAAACATCCAAAAGACGATTATCTCGGGAATTATATCGAAACTTACGATCGTCCAATCTTGTTTTAAAGATCGCATGGTGCATGTAGACGCATGACAATTCTCGGAGCATTAACTACAGCATAAGCTACGACGTCGACAGGAAATGGAACCCACACAACCCACGTGGACGTCCAGCCCCCTTCCGACCGACACCTGCCGCCCCCTTAGTTTCATCTTGTCGACATGCGAATACTCTGAACACAAAGGCGCGGGTCGGTGCGCCACGTTCCCACCCCGGTGGTCGCCTGAGAGTCGCGCGCTTCTCGCTCGTCTCACCTCGCCACTGAGGTCTGTCATGACGAACAGCAGCGCGCGCACGAAGATGTACTGTCGCTCGAGCAGCCAGCGGATGGCCATGAACGAAGTGAGCGCACCGATTGCCTCACAGCCGCCCAGCTTGCTGTACCAGGCGCGCTCGTAGCAGAGGCCGCACAGCCGCTCCGACAGGTACTCCATCAGCGGCAGCTGACACGCCTGGCCGGGCAGAGCGCCGCGCGCCCGTAAGCGGTGGGTCGGTGGCGGCCGCGTGCCGCGCGCGTCAGCAGCGAGGCACGCACGCCCGGCCGCCACGGAGGGTCACACGGCGTCAACGGAGAGCGAGGGAGGCAGAAACACAGCGCAACCAGAGGAAGGGGCACACCCAGCGAAGAAGGACACAGTCAGCAGGAATGCGCACACATGGTCAGCATGGTGGGACACAGCCTGCAAGGAGGCGGTCGAGTAAGAGGACACGCGGGGTCAACACGGAATGGTTAGTCAGCAGGGACGAACCCAGTCAACATGAGATGATGCACAGCGGAGAACTCACCGTACGAGTCAGTGCGCCGATGGCAAACCACCGGAACACAACGGACACAGGGAGTCAGCGAGGTGAGCAGAAACGGACACAGGGAGTCAGCAAGGTGAGCAGAAACGGGACACAGGGAGTCAGCAAGGTGAGCAGAAACGGACACAGGGAGTTAGCGTGATGAGCGGAAACGAGCACAAGGGGCCAGCTGTCCCAGTTTCATGTCCCAGCCTGTTTTTGGTAGGTCTTGTGGCCGTGACCGTACTTGTTGTAAATGTGTAAATGTCTGTAACTTTTATGAGCAGTGTTCGCCGGGCCGGATTCATGATACCCACCGTGTGGATCAATCTTTGACAAACGACCATGAACGTGTGGTACGTGGTCAGCCAGCATGGCGGCAGCTTGGTCTGCTGCACGGGGGGGGGGGGATGTAGAACCAGCACGGGAGGACGCAGAGTCGGCAGCAAGTGGGAGAGGGAACAGCTGCGAGGACGGGGAGCAGAACCAGCAGAGCTGCCAAATGAAAGGAACAGGAATTACCCTACCGAACCAGAAAGATGGACATAGGACCGGCAAAGAGACAACAAAGGCCGATGGCCACTGATCTGTGTCAAAGTAACTTTAAGTGCCCCCCCCCCCCCCATCCCTCCCGGGTCAAACGCCGGGCGCCCTTGAAGGCCGAGTCGTGTACTGACCCGCTCCAAGGAGCCCATGACGGTGGTGGCGGTGCCCAGTATGACCTGGATGGCTACCCGGCCCGGCTTGCACAGCTCCTTCTCCTCGTGGCCCATGATGTAGGCCAGAGCGTCGACCAGCACCAGCGGGTCCATGCCCTGCAGCTTGAGCTGCCGCGTCGTGGCGCCGAACGGTCCTGCCGGGCGGCGCAGTCCAGGTCACAGCTCAGCTCACCACCCAGACCTGGACAGGGACGGAGGGCGTCCCGGGGACACGCTGCGGCACGCCCGGCGGTCACCA